TCTCGGGTGGGCATATTTGAGTATGGCGGGGTCGGGTCAGAGCTGCCTTGGTATGTCTGGGGTGGGCCTCTGGGCCCTGCTTTCCTCAGCACTTTCAGTGTGATCCCCTGTGCCTCTAATCCCAGGGAGAGTTTCCTGCTGGTTCCCTCGCTGTTTGACGCGTGTTCTAGTTTTGAAAATCTGCCATTTAAAGTGTGGGCTTTTTTCCTGTGTCCTAGGGCAGGCGCTCCTGTGCTGGGGTCCCTCAGTGATCCCTCCCTGCTGCAGTAGCTGTACCGGGGCAGGGTTCCCACTGTTTCCCTGTCACCATCTCTCCTGCCATTTTTTAATGGGATCTCTGTATCCCTCATTGTGCAGGAACTGTTCCTGCAGCCCTCAGATCTTCCTCAGGAGGAATTGCTCTGTATGTGGATACAGATTTGATGAGAATGTGGGAGGTGAGTTCAAGCTCTTTCTGTGCACCATATTGGACCTCCCCTAGGGTTCAGTATATTTTTAAGAGTCCGTATTGTGAATCGTGCGAGGAACTAGAAATGAAGACATGTAATGGAAGTCATCCCAGAGACACCCAGGAACCAGCATGAGGAGGTGTTTGGGGGAGATAGAATACTTGATTCCTGGTACCAGGTGCAAAGGCATGAGGTGCAGAACAGCATGCTAGGTCCCGGGGCACAGGGTGACACTGAATGGCTGGGGAAGAGAGGTAACTAGAGAAATTGGCCTTAAGTGCAACCAGAAATTGGCCTTAAGTGCAAAAAGAATTGAACTTACCTGATAGGCTGCATGTGTGGGTTGGGGATGGGGAAGAGCTAGGGTGCTTGCAGGCTTTAAAGTAAGGTAATAAAATCAAATTTACTTCTTAGAAAAAAATCTTTTCTGCTGCAGTGGAGGGAGAGGATCTGGGAAAAGGGCAAGGCTGGATACAGTGACCACGGTCTGCATGAGAGTAGAGGAGGCCCAGAAAGTGGGTGGTTACAGGAGAGAGAGGTGGACTGGAGCACTTCCTGGGGAAACGGTGTGAGGTGGGGAAGAGTGGAAGGCCGAGGCGTCCTTTGGGATGTTCTGCAAGGTTTTGGCCCAGAAGTAAGTGGCGAGTGCTGAGGACGCATGTTGGATGTGTTGAGTTAGGTGGCTTGTTGAACGTTTGGTGGAAATAAAGGTTCAGTAGACAAGAGGGAAACGACCCTGCACTGACAGCATCTGGGGCAAGGCGAGGGCGTGACGAGCACCATTAACACGAGGCGGGAGGTGAACACTGCCGCTGTCTCTGGGCTCTCAGGAGAGGGCCGAAATCTCAGGGCTGGGTTCTAGGACTCGGACTGAGGACAGAAGCGTGGAAAGCGCCTGCTGACATAGGGCAGTGGGAGGAGGACTACAGACGGGAGCTGTTCAGTGAGCGAGGCGCTTACTCCAGTCATTCCATGGCACGTGTCTTTGGCTAAAATGTAAGATGTTTAGGTAAGCTCCCTGTGGTCCAGCAAAGCAGTATCATTTGACATCGTCAGGTAACTGAGCACAGGACTGTTTTATGAGTGCTGTGCCATGTTCTCCCTATCTTCTCTGGTCTTATTTCCACTACAGGCATAGTATTTTAACTGTATTCCTGAAATGAAATCACACTTTAAAAAAGTCCATTGAACTTCCTCAGCTGTATATATAATACAGTGTCCTTTTTGTTCTTTTCCTTTGAAGATCTGTTTTTCTATTGCCTGAATATTTTACTTTTCCTTCATTTAACTGAACTAGTAGGCCATGCTGTGGAACAGAAACATGAACTTGAATAATTGTCCTCCTAGCCATATATGTCACTGGCCACTCTACCTCACCCTTTCCTCCTGATTCTCTGACCTTTTCATAGGGAGTTTGCCCAGGCCCTAGGCTGGGACCTGTTCTCTGTGTTCATCTCTGAGTGATCTCATTCAGGCCCATGGCTTTCAATACCATCACACATGATGACTTTCTATCTCCAGGGTGGATCTCTCCTCTGACCTCCAGTCTAACTAGACTTTCTATACTACTTACTTCATGCTAATAGGCATCTTCAACATAACAGGCCAAATCCAAACCCCCGCATTTACCCTCCTGGCCCGTCCCCCCTTTCTGCAGCCAGCCCCCCTCAGGTAATGGCAGCTCAGTCTTCTGTTTAAGGCAGTCTCTCAGTCATCCTTGACCCTTTTCTTCTCCACATCCAGTACTTGAACAAATCCTGCTGGCTGTGCCCTCCCACTCTGGCATATCCCATGTCAGTGCCTCCATGGCTTCACCATGCTCATCTCCACATGCAACTGTATCCCAGCTGGTCTCTCTCCTCCTGCTCTTGACCCTACAGTCTGTTCTCAGCAGCAAGTCAGACACTCTTCTGGGAATTTCATGGTGACTTCTTAGTTTCACTAAGAGTCAAAGCCAGAGGTCTTAGGTGGCCATGTGCTTGATAAGATCTGGCTTCGTGTTTCTTTTCTGATTTCATTTTCTGCTGCTCTTCTCACTTGTTCCCAGTCCCTTGTCTCCTCCATTCATTCCTCATATGCGCCAGGCACCCTGCCACCTCAGTGCTTGGACTCCCCTCTGCTGGAAGGCTCTGCCTCAGCTGATTCCTGTCACTGCCCTGGGGTCTCTACCCAGATGTCTCTTTCTTTTGAGTACCATCTTCAGCACTGCATTTCAACTTCGTCTTCTCTGTCCTCTTCCACTGCTTTATTTTCCTCCATAGCACCATCTGACATGCCTATTTATTTATTTATGTTTATTGCAGTATAATTGATACACAATCTTGTGCCAGTTGCAAATATACAACACAGTAGTTCTACAGTTACCCCCTTTATTAAATCCTCATCCCCACAAGTGCAGTTACCATCTGTCAACACAGGAAGATGTTACAGAATATTTGGCTATATTCTCCATGCTGTACTACCATCCCTGTGACCAGTTTATATTATGATTGAGAATTTTTGTGCCCTTTTATTGCCCTCAGTTCCCCCCATCCACCTATGCCAACCACTAGTCACTTCTCAGTGTCTGTGAGTCTGCTGCTATTTTGTTCATCTTGTTTTGTTTTTAGATTTCACAAATACATGAAATCATATGGTATTTGTCTTTCTCCATCTGGCTTATTTCACTTAGCATACTACCCTCTAGGTCCATCCATGTTGTCACAAATGGCAGAATTTCTTTCATTTTTATGGCTGAATGATACTCCATTGTGTATTATATGTGTACCATCTCTTCTTCATTCATTTATTGATGGACACTTTGGTTGTTTCCATATTTGGTTATTTTAAATAATGTGGCAATAAACATAGCACATCTTTTTGAATCAGGCATTTTGTGATTTTTTTGAGTAAATTCCTAGAAGTGGAATTACTGGGTCATACAGTATTTGTTTTTAGTTTTATTTGAGGAACCTCCATATTGCTTTCCACAGTGGCTACACCAATTTACATTCCCACCAACAGTGTAGGAAGGTTCCCATTTCTCCACATCCTCACCAACACTTGTTATTTCTTGTTTTTTGGATAGTGGCCATTCTGACTGGTGTGAGGTGATATCTCATTGTGGTTTTGATTTGCATTTCCCTGATGATTAGTGATGTGGAGCATCTTTTCAGTGCCTTTTGGCCATTTGTATTTCTTCTTTAGAGAAATGTCTGTTCAGGTCCTCTGCTTATTTTTATCAAGTTATTTGGGGGTTTTTTGGTGTTGAGGTATATGAAGTCTTTATATTAATTTTGGATGTTAGCCCCTTACTGGATGAATCATTTAGGAATATATTGCCCCATGCCATTGTTTTGTTGATGGTGTCCTTTGCTGCTGTACAGAAGCCTTTTAGTTTGATGTAGTCCCATTTGTTCATTTTTGCCTTTGTTTCCCTTGCCGAAGGAGATATGTCCAGGAAAAGATTGCTTATGTTCAAGAGATTTTTGCCTTTGTTTTCTTCGAAGAGTGTTTTGGTTTCATGTCTTACATTTAGGTCATTAATCCATTTCAAGTTTACTATTGTGTATGGAGTTAAACAGCAATTCAGTTTCATTCTCTTGTATGTAATGCTATCCAGTTTTCCCAGCACATTATTGAAGATGTCTTTTTTCCATTGTATATTCATGGCTCCTTTATCATATCTCAATTGACGATATAAGCATGGGTTTATATCTGGACTCTGTTCCATTGACCTATGCATCTGTTCTGGTGCCAGTACCATACTATTTTGATCATTGTAGCTTTGTACTATAGCTTAAAGAACGTAGTATTCCCAGCTTTGTTCTTCTTTCTCAGGATGGCTTTGGTTATTCAGGGTCTTTTGTGGTTCCATATGAATTTGAGGATTGTTTGTTCTCATTCATTAAAAAACTGTTAGTATTTTGATAGGGATTGCATTGAATCTGTAAATTGCTTTGGGAAGGATGTCCATTTTGACAATACTAATTCTTCCTATCCCTGAGCATGGGATAGGTTTCCATTTATTTGTGTCGTCTTTAACTTCTTTCATCAGTGTCTTAACAGTTTTCAGAGTACAGCTCTTTCACTTCCTTGGTTAGGTTTATTCCTAGGCATTTTATTCTTTTTGATGCAATTGTAAATGGAATTGTTTTCCTGATTTCTCTTTCTGCTAGTTTGTTGTTAGTGCTCTGTTCCTCTTCTGCTTGTGGGCTGAGATTGGGAAACGTCTTGGGTCTCTCTTGATTATGGCTCTGCCACTTTACCTTTCTCTGTGTGGTCTTCTCTTCTCCACCAGGTCTAGGTGGCCTGGTCTGCAGTTGTTTTCAGGGTTAGTTGTATTTGCTTCCTTGGTGTGTACATGCGAGGTTTCTGCCTTGCCTTCCTACTCTGCCGCCTGACATGTACTGATATTGTTGTCCATCTACTACTCCCCCTAGATTGAAGGCAGAGATTTTTGTGTTTTATCGCAGTATCTCTAATACCTGGAATAATGCTTGGTATGTAGAAAGTAGTAAATATTTATAGAATTTTACTGTTATTAAAGATAATTTTAACTTTGTTCTTCAGGTTCATCTCTAACAAGTATTTAGTGAAGCGCCAGAGCAGAGACTATGATGTGGAGTGGGGTTACGCCTTCGATGTGCATTTGAATGCTTTTTATCCTCTCCTCGTCATTTTGCACTTCATCCAGCTTTTGTTCATCAACCGTAAGTAGCAGTTACTACTAAAAATATCATTGAAGAGTCTTCACTGTATGCACTTTTTGTAAAGAGATTCATTGTATGCCTCTCTCCCACAGATGTTATCCTGACAGACACATTTATTGGCTATTTAGTTGGAAATACCTTATGGTTGGTTGCAGTTGGCTATTACATCTATGTAACCTTCCTGGGGTACAGTGGTGAGTGATTACTGTGTTCCTTGACTGAATACATAATGCGTGGTTTAACAATAATACAGTTAGCTTATATGGAGCACTTACAGGCACAGTCCCAAGTGTTTTAGATGAATTATCTCATGTAATCTTCACGATTATATGATACAGGTCTACTTTTCCCCATTTTTCAAGTAAGGAAACAGGACCAGAGGAATTACACTTGCCCTTGGTCCCACAGCTAGAAAGTGGTGTGGCTGCCACTTTCAAGGGACTTGTCAGACCATACTGACCATCTCCAAGTTACTTGCACAAACCTGTAACCTGTTTCCTCTTGCTCTTCCCCCAGGCTTTCAGGTTCCCAACAGTAAGTAGGTTAGAGGGAAGGAAAGGGTGGGCCTTATGCATGGGGACATAGCTATACAGGTGAACTTCAGTGGATGTAAAACCTTCACCTCACTTGCCGTTTTTATCATCACTGTATGGTTCTGTAGATGATCAGAAGATCAGATCACAGAAGATACACTAACCTCAGCATATCTTTGCAAATTTATTGTTAAATCCTGCTGTCAGTTCATTTTTCTTGGTTTAAGTGAGAGAGAAATATATTTAAATTCTTCATTTGTGCTAAGAAATTATCTCCATTAAATAGAGCTGAGTTTAAATCTAGAGATCTCACAATTTATTAGTGTTACATTTTTAGCCTGTCTGTTGTCGTCAGTGGAAGATTAGGACCTTTCTGTGAATACTTACCACTTGCATGCACATATGACTGGCTCCTCTGGTCAGAGCTGCTGTTCTCGCCCACGCTCCCTTTGCTGCTTTGCCAGGGATATAATACCGTCCTAGGATACCGTTGGCTTCTGTTACGTCTTTAAGATGGACTCTTAGAGGCCTCTGAAGCAGTCATAGGTTGAAATTGACCATTTTCAGTAGTTGTGATGTTTGTGTCTAGCTCCTACCTTCTCTTAGCTCTAGATTTGCTTCTCACTTAGCCATTGTGCTGAAATAATCCCTCTCCTGGGTTTCTTCATACCAGGAATAAGCAGGAAGCACAGTGGAGAGTGGCTATAGACAGCATCTGACTAGTTCAAAATATACACTCCTTCTAAGAGCTGTTTTTCAGAATGTTTACTTATTGGTCATATTTCTTTTTAAATTAATTTGGATTTCTTTTCCAGCATTGCCATTTTTGAAAAATACAGTCATTCTTCTCTATCCATTTGCACCTCTCATCCTACTGTACGGACTGTCACTGGCACTAGGATGGAACTTTACCCGCACACTGTGTACCTTCTACAAGTACAGAGTGAAGTGAAAAGGAAGTGAGACTGTTACATTTTAACTGTGTCAGCAGTATTGGTGAAGTGATTTCCTATGAAACTTGTAAATAAACTATCATTGTAGATATTAATGGTGTAAAGTTTGCAAATTTGAGGAAATGGTAACACTATTGTCAAGTACATTCCTTAAAATTAATTAAATGTACATTTCTATAATAAATTTTTTTAAGCTAAAGCATGTGTCTTATTCTAATTGCACATATAAGAATGATGTACTAAGGGCATGAGGAGACTAGAAAGGTAAGACTTTTTAATATGAATTATTTTTTTGGCAGTAGCCATCTGGAGAACATGATGATAATCACATTCCCTCCTGGTGTTGCTGACAAGATTTATCGTCTGCCCACATTTCTAATGGGCTGTATTTAGATAGGCCACATAATCCTAGTCTAACTTTGAAAAGCCTCCTTAACCCGATTTGCTATGAAAGAAACTCCAAAACAAAATACATTAGATTGAAGAGGCTTATGTGCCTGAGTAAACACCTGCATAACATTGCCAATCAGTGTTAAGACTAATGCCTTCTTTAGAGACTTGCCAAAAACCACACAGAAGATGCACTCCTGTTTTCTGACTGAAAGTAGTTCAAATAAACTATTATATCAGCATTAAAACTAATAAAAAAAAAACCTTGCTACTCATTAAGTTTTACCTATTTTTATTAGAAGGACTTTTTAAACTTCATTTCAAATACAGGTGGACAGTTGTGGCACAGAACCAGTGAAAAAGGCACAGTCAACGAAACCAGTTAAGTTTGCTTTAATTATAGCAGCAAATTTGGAAGTAATCGTCCTTTAAAAATCCAGCAGGTACCTAAAATATTCGTACAGATATTACCCATTCAACTAGTGAAGACATTGTAAGGAGAATATGTACAGTACATTTAAGGAGGAAGAAAATCTGGTATAACCTGGGAAAACAGCTGCTCAGGCTGCTTCTCCAAGGCATGCTCCCAGGAACATCCCCAATGTGAAGACCTTTGCAGAACAGTCTCAATAAGAATGAATGAAATGTAATTGTTAGGTGTGATCAGCTGATTGCTGAATCTTAGAAAACATTGCTGTCTATACTGAAAAATACCAAATCTGCTGGCAGTGCATCTTACAGTACTGTTGAGACCAGCCATTTTTAAGGCTCAGAATATGTTTCTAAAAGTATTTTCACCTACTTTCAGCAAACACTGCATTTCAAATAAATAATGGAATGCTAATGAAACTAAAGTACCAAACCTCTGGGCAATTTGCTAATTACTAATACCAGGAAACAATGAAGAGCAAGTCATACATAAAATAGCCTCCCTAATGTCCAAGGGAAGTATCCCCACAACAAACTAGAACAATTTTAGCACCACTATTCTTGACATTTTTCCTGCAGTGTTAACACAGGGAATGATAGTTTGCACAAAGCACTTTCCATTCGACACACAGTTTACTTTCTTGAGAAAATGTCTTCTAAATTCTCAACTCAAACACGGGAGTGTCATCTCTTGTTTGTTCCTTTGGAAATGATCTAGTTAGTGCCCAAACTGGTGAAATGAGTGTTTTCAGCTAATAAAAGTTTATACATGATATTGATAATACGGATATATATAATAATATAACATCCTTTTTTCTTTTTACTATGGTGGTAACACTATAGTGGTATTTTCAGCATCACATTCACATGCATTAAAGTATGCATGCTAGTTGTGGCAGTTATCAAGATTAATAATTAAAATATTAAAACTATCAAAATTAATTTCACACTGTAAACACTTACATAGCTTGGGAAGGTTTCCTGTTTCATGAAAGAGTTGGGACATCTAAGTACCCTTAGAATGCTAAAATAGTATGATTAAAATTTCTGACCTTTTGACAGTCTTAGCCTCTCATTTTCCTTTAGCTCTACTTTCATCAAGGTAGTAAACAGTAAGGTTTGATTAAAAAAAAAAAAAGTCCAATACAGAGTGGATTATCTACATAGAGGCAGTTTTTTTTCCTCTTAATTTGGTATCTTATTTAAAATGCCACTGTTCATGATTCTTACATAATAGACTGCCAGGCTCAGAGCAGACTTAGTAATACCTCTTAGAGGAGAAAGATCCCTTGCACACTGGCTGCTCCTCCTGCACTGTTTCTAGCAGTTCTTTATGCAACACTACTGAGGAGCTGCAAGGTTTTGCCAACAGCCTCCCAGACTGTGTGAGTTCTCCGGCAGAGAAATCCCAGATGAGGCCCAGGTATATGATGTGCTAGCATAAAATTCAATTCACGTGTTTATCATGAAATAGCCAATATACTAGAGGAAATCAAGTATGAAGACTTTTCCTCTACTTTTAAACATTGTATTCATTTTCTATTGCTGCATAACATCATAAATTTAGAAGCTTAAAACAACACCCATTTATTAGCTCTGCAGGCTGGAAGTACACACAGGCTTGACTGAGCTCTCTGTTTAGGGTCTCAGGGTTGCAGCCATGGTGTCGGCAGGGCTAGGCCCTCAGCTGCTGGCGGAGTGTCTACCTGCATGCTCCTCCAGGTTGTCGGCTGAATCCAGTGCCTATGGCTGTGGGACAGCAGCTCCCATTCGCTCCCATACGTCTCAGCAACGTAAGGCCATCTGCAATTCTTCACACAGGTGGCTACCTCCATCATAAACCAGCAACAGGTGCCGTGAGTCCTGCTTTGAATCTCTTGGCTTAACTCCAGCCTGAGAGAACTCTGCTTTTCAAGGGCTCCTGTGATTAGGCGAGCGGTCCCTGGATAACCTCCCTTCTGCTGTGTAATGCAGCACCAGTCACAGGACCATCCACATTGAAAGGTCACTGGGGGTCATTTATAGAATTCTGGCTCCTGCAAACATACATGGCTACTACTTAAAGCAATCTCACTGCACATGCTGTTTTCACAAACCAACTTTGTCTTGAAGGGCGGCACTGTCGGCAGATGATGTTTTCTCATGATTGTGACAGATTCAGAAGCAGCCCTCAGAATATTAATGAAAGTTTTTAAATAACACCTTCTAATTTACTGTTACTAATGCAACTACTGACTTGAAAAGCCTTATCTTTGTTCAAAGACATCTCCAATGGTTGAATTAATACATGCATGCATGTCTATATAGCCTACATGCTAAGAATCCATCTGCATTCACTTTTTCCAAGGCTTTTCTACCTGAAACTGTTGCTCCTTCTTGACTACATGGTATGGTACAGTGCATGCTGTAAAGAACACATGAGACTCAAAGAACTTAGAAATCTTAGACCTTAGAATCCTACAAACTCAGAATGCTCAACCTTCTCATCTCCCCCAAAATACTCATCATCATTCTGCATTATGATACATCTGCATGTCTGCTTTTAACCTCATAATCAGAATTCATTATTCTGCTTCCTAAAATGCTCATATTAGCACTCTTGACACAGGACTGTCCAACAGAGCTTTCTGCAATGAGGGAAATGCTCTAGACCTTTGCTGTCCAATCCAGCAGCCACTGGCCATGAGTGCCTATTGAGCACATGAACTGCAACTAGTGTGATTGAGAAGCTGAATGTCTGGTCAATTTAGCCACCATGTGTCTAGTGGCTACTGTATGTATGCAGGACAGCATAGCTCTGGAGTCTGACAGTTTATGTGAAGCACACACCAGATACCAAAGTGTCATATACATATGATGGATGGATAAAAATAATTAGTCCCAAATCTGACACTTTTTCCCATTCACTATTTTGGTATAAGTGGTTCAGTGCCCTCTCAAGGTCAAGTATTAACTTTTGCCCAGTTCCAGGTCCTTTTCACCTCTGATGGTATGTCCCTGCACTTCACCCTAACACTGTGAAAGGCCCCTGCTATACTTGTTGCTGAGGAAAGCATGGCTGTTTTTAACTGTGCAGTACAGAAGGGAGGGAAGAGGAGATAGCGACTAGCAAGGAGATCACATAAGCACCTGCGCGGCAGGACAGATGAGCTCTAGGCTCGCCCCCAGGAGCTTTCAGTTGGTGAGAGAGAAGAGGCTGCAGGCATGCACACATTCCCCATAATCCATCAAACACTGGAGAGCTGAGTGTGTGTGTGGCAAGGACAGTAGGTAAGGCGAGGTAAGGAAAAGAAAGGAGAGTGTGGGCAGACAGTTGGTTCCTGCATCCAGACCCTGACTGGCACTTGCCATGTGCCAGGCACTGCCGGGCACAGGGAGTAGATTCATGGAGAGGTGTGCACACGATAGTCCTTGAAAGCTGGGTAAGGTCTGGCTGAAGGTATTTTCAGGAACAAGGGGTGAGCCATGGCCAGGAGGGGAGGGAGCTAGACAACAGGAAAAGACTGGCTGGTGAGGCTCAGCCTGAAGACTGAGAAGCCCTTGCAAACGGCGATGAGCTGCAGCAAGTGTCCCTACCTAGATTTCGGAGCATGGCCTTTCTTCCTGAAATCGGGGTTGGCTACTTAGGATGCAGGTAAACTTGGGACTTCTAAACCCACCTCTAGATTTTTATGTCCTGATACTTAGTTGTTAGAGCAGTAATTTCACATGTTACACTGGTGCCACAATTTTATAATGAAAGGCTATTCTTTTCAAATGAAATTTGTCAGAAGGCACTGGGCCAAGGAAATTTGAGAAGAAAATAAAAAGTGAATTTCAAAAACCCAGTAAGAATTTTAACTGGACTTTGACATAAAAATCATTTCTGGCACCATGTGATGTTTTAATCAAGAAAAGTAATTAAAAATTTTTTCAACATGGAGTAATGGAAGTAACTGTTCTCTTTCATTGTTCCCAACTTCTTCACTTCCTAACACTGCACAGAAACGATGCTGTTGGGAAGGTGTTTGTCTGACATACTGGTAACCCAGTGAAGCTCCTCCAAGCCAAAGGCAACCAGCTGGGGCCTTCAGCAGCACCAAGGCCTCAACCACCAGCTTCTCTGAAGGCCAGATCAGTCTCTGTACTTCCATGGCCCACCTGAGACACACCAGACTGGTTGCAAGCTGATGATGACAATTCAGAACTTTTTAAAAGTAAAATACTTTTGGTAAAGATCAGCAATTGCTAAGGCAGATGATATTTTTTTCATAGTTGTAATATCATTTGGAATTGCATGTTTAAGAGTAGGAAATACTCTCTTAGGATATGAGTTTACTTGTAAGTCTGTAATGCAACAGAATAAATCATTTTGGAAAAACACACAACTGCTACAATACCTTTCACCAAAAAACAATATTACAATTTTATTTTTCTTTAAAATTAAACCAATTATGATTCATACAATGGTATTACCTAGAAAACATTTTGTCAGAACTCATACAATGAGTGCAGATATAAAAGGATCAGCAAGAGGTAATGCATCTAATTCATGGATTAAAGACACAGATTCAAAAAAACAAAGAAGAGTTTGCCATTATACCTATCAGAGGAAACATAATGAGTTAAAGTCTCTAATAATTTGGACTGAAGGCATCACCCTGCACATTAAAATTATCAGACTGATTTTTTGCGGCTATACACCATATACAGAATAGTAAAATAACCGTCAGGAAAGACATGGTTCTTTAAAATCTTGGCTTTAAGGAATGACAAATGCCTTTGAAAATATTTTGTTCAGCATAACTGTGATTATAAAAGTACTTCAGTTAGGAAATCAATCTAGAATCATTCTTAAATGGCAGTGGATCTGAAAAATGGCATTAATTTGTAATGTTTGCATTTCTAAAGAAAAATATAGAAAGAACTTAAAAAAGCAAGGTAACTGGCTTTCAAAAAAAGTTCTGATTCAAAATTTACTGCACAAAAATATGTACTTAAGTGTTTCTAATAAATTAACTCCGTAACATTTTTATGTATATTTATACATTTATATATATATATAATCCCTGATAATCTATAAAAGAGGGTAATAGTAAAATAAATGAACTTCAAAAGTACCCCCTTCATAAAACTTCTTTAACATTAATTTTTCTCAAATTTAAGGAATGTAACAATATGTACAACTCTTAGGTATTAGTATAATACCAAAATAGTACAAGTCATATTACAGGCTGTCATAACTATAAAACGTTTGAGTTAAGTTAAAATTGGAGGACAGCTTAGGTTCAAATGAATACAATTATCCATGGGTGATTCCCTTTCCGAGTGGAAATGACAATCATCTTATCTACAGTAGATTTCACAAGAGGTAGTGTTCAGGTAAAAAACAAGAACATGCTTAACTATCGTTAACAAATTCACAGGAAAAAATGTGTTGGTTTCTTAAGAGATGATCAGTTGGTGACTTTTTTAATATGAATCTGAAATATAAAACAGGGAAGAGTATGATAGGCAATTAATTTTCAATTCCAAAATGGCCTGAAATATAAAATCAAAATGTGGTAAAAAAGTGTAAAATCTAAGTGGATTCACTGATTTAATATACTGTCTTACCTCATTAAGAATGGCCCAAACAGCAGAATTCTGAATAACTGAAAGTCGAAAGGCTGAAATGGGGTTTAGATTGGGATCCACCATTCCTTCTGCAACACCATTCTCAAATTTTCCTTCAAAATAAAAACCAACACTTGTTGGGTAGACTGAAACAAGCACATATATCACTGACTTAAAGCAGGAAAGGAAAACATCAAAATATTTTTATTATGGGTGAAATTTTTTCCTTCTACTTTTATTCAACTTTTACATTTTCATAAAGTAGTGTATGCTTTAAAAACATTAGAAGCAACCTATTTAAGAGGCAGAGCTATACTTTTTCTTATTGCAAATTTAAAAAAATATTTGTTCTTGCATCAGTCCTCTTGGGATAATTGGGCAAAATGTGACTTACCCAAACCTTACCAAAATATACTCTGTACTATCACTAGGTCTATCCACTTTGAGGGTTAAGTCAATTACACAAATTTCAATGCTCTCATTAGACATACAATGGTTGGCCTTGAGCAGGGGCTCAATCTATGTGTATTCTTCCCAAGGTCACATCTAGGAATTAAGTGGTGATACCTCAAGGCAATTCCAATATAAAACTCCATTATAAATTGACAAACTAAAAAAACCTCTCCTGTAGGGATAAGGACCAAGAACTTCTAGAAATGGTAATGTGCTCTATACCCAAGTCTCCTTGCTGTGAGGAATAATCTTTTTTAGACAAAAAAATTAAGTACTGTTGAAATGTGACAGGAAATGGTTTGTTCTGAGCCACATCTTTCTATGCCAGAGACTGGCAGTTTTTCTGTAACAGGCAGGTAAATATTTTGGGCTTTCTGGACCCACAAGGAAAACTGGGGATACCAGGTAGATACTTACATATAGTAAGAGAGAAAACAAATTTCCACAAAATTCTTATTAATGAAATTCAAAATATATGAACAAGTGAGTGCAAGCTTTTTGTTTTTGTTTTTTGTTTTTGCTATTACAGGTGTATGAAGGAGAACGTTACTCCCTTTGGGGGATGACATTTTAATTTAGTGGGATTCAAAATTAGTGTTCCTTATCATCAGAATTGATTGCAAACGTTTATCTGTTAATGTGGATCTATTAGATTTTATACATTTTATCTTGAATATTTCCTTTCACATAGCCTAAATACTGCTAAATACTGGTATCAATCTATAAGCACATGACTTTGATGGAACATACTCATTACTTGGAAGGTATTTATGAAATTCTGTTTTGATTCTTCTCTTTGATATCTGCCTTCTGCTGTATCATTACACTGCAGATAAATAATTTTCAAAGGTTGGGTGGAAGCTCCTCAATTAACTAGTTAGTACTTGTAGCTCAAATAATGTTAATTGTCATCAAAATGACTTCACTCAATACAGGTTTTGCATATAAGTACTATTTTGTCTTAAAATTTGGGGTTAAATTAAGAAATATTACAAAGCCTGCATTGAAAGCTAATTTCCAAAAAGATAATAGCGGTTAAGGGAATTTCTTCTCACTTGGAAAAATTTCAGTCTTGCTCCTGAACTCAAAAAAGTTTCACAATGAAGTTTTACCACCTGTAAGCCCGAAATGCTGTGCAGTAGGGCAAGTCAGGATATTCAGTTTCTAGTCATGATGAAAGTTCACAGAACTGATGATGGCAAAGTCTATGAGAGTGAATAAAGTTCAGTTGACACCATCTGTTCAATTAACAGATACATGACAGATTTAAATATTTTCAGCAGGTGCTGATAAATAAGGAAATAAACAGCCATAGGCTTTAAACATCTCACATTTTCACAAGCTTTGTAAATTTATCCAACTAAGCAACCTTCTCTCCACACATATTTTCCCCCATTCACTGTAACACATCTTAGCAGATTCCACTTCAGATTGTAGCAAAAATCTGTGTTTTCTCAACTTGTTTGAGAATATTCCTGTCTGCAGGAATTATTATTTTTTCTTTTCTTTTCAATTATCTTTGCTTTTCAACTATAGATTTGTTCCCAATGTCCTCAACTCTTCCAGACCATATTGCCAAAAGCCTTGTAGTCTTAAGCTTATTTTCCCTGTACATAACATTTCTGGCTGTGGCAATCAAACATGTTGAATTAAGTACCATCCATAAATGGTTTTACTTGCTTGGCTAACATACAAGCCACCTTGAAACTCACTTTGGGTACAGCCTCATTTGGACTTTTTGTTTTTGTGAAGTCATTCTGCTATGGTGGAATATTCTATTCAGCATTTTCAAATTTTTCTGGCCACTGCTTTCCTGTAGGTTGGGTATTGCTGTGCGCACTTTGGTATGTTAAAGAATTCTGCAGCACAGCTATACAGTGTCACTGCATAATCACTGTCTTGCCAATCGGCTAGCTCTTCCTACAGAATCACCCACATGCCACTGTATTAAAAAGCAGGATGTTCAAAATTCACTTTTATTTTCTCATGTTGACATGATAAACACTGGCAAATTTTTTTAATGCCGCAGTATGGTGATATGTGTGGCATTTGAAATGCTCTCAAATTATAAATGCACCACTGCTGTTTGCAGTGCACTGAGCAGCAATTCAACGCAATGAGAGCACCATCTCGGTCTCTATTTCAGCTCTTCACTCATCTGCTGTTGTAACATAAATGCACACAGACAATACATAAACAAATGAGCACTGCTGTGTTCCAATAAAACTTTATTTATGGACACTGAAACTTGAATTTTATATAATTTTTACATGTCACAATATACTCTTCAGTTTTTAAAACCATTTAAGAATGAAAAGTAAACAATGAAAAAAAAATTAAAACATTCTTAGTTCATAGTCCATTCAGAAACATGTAGTAGGCCAGATTTGACCCATGGGCTGTATGTAGTTTGCTGACCCTGTGCTGTTACATTATGTATAGTCCATCCTAAAGTCTTACAATATAGTGACAAAGCTTACAGTGAGATAAGATACATTCAAACTGAAAACCATATGAGAGAAGACTGATATTAATTTTCATAGAAAATATTAAACTTTTAAACTTCCAGAGTAATGTTTTTATTTAAAAATTATCAATAAGCTCATTTCATAAATGCATGTCCTTACTTGGGGCTGGACTGGGGTAGGGAGTATATGCTACAAAAAGTGTTATATTGAATTAGGCAGGGGATTCAGGGCTGAAAAATACTGTTAAACTTGAAATATCCTAATTAATGAGATACTGTCACCTGACAAGTTCATTTAATTAGAAAAATAATTACCAAATGATATAACTGGCTTCACTGAGACACTTTCACCCAGCTGGTTTACCCTATACAGGTGTACTTTCCCATGTGCAAGGAGAGTTTACATACTGCAGCAAAAACTGCAAACAACCTAGGTGTGTCCATCACTAAGAGGCTGGCTAAATAGATGATAATGTGCCAATGCAAGGGAACACTAGGCAGCAAATTAAAAGAATGAAGAAAGAATAAAAAGAATGAAGTTGAACGTAATGCAACTGAAGACTTCCATTCTTAAGTATATATTGCAGAGAAAGTATCATACATGTGTTTAAGTATTCAAATCAGCAGTGGTTAGAATAGCAAAAAAAAATGGAAACAAACTTTATGATCAAACTAAAGAACAGACAGTAGTATATTCATCCATGGAAATCTACACAGCTATGGAAATGAATGAGCCACAGACACACACATCCATGTGGATGAATCTCACAGTGGTGAGTGAAAAAAATACAAACTGTAGACTACAGAATGATATCATTTATATCAAATTTAAAAATAAGCCAAATAACACTGTGCATCATTCAAGAGATATGCTATATATACACAGTAAAACCATACATGGAAATGGTAATCACAAAACTTAGCATAGTAGTTACCCATGAGTGGAAGGGGAAAAGATATTAGGGAAGAACAACTAAATTGGCAAATCATAAGCTGAACACACAGATACTCTTTATATTATTATTTGTATCTTTTTGTGCATCTGAAATATTTACAATTAAAAAAATGTTCATCTTCCACATGTACAAATGTATTTTATTCAGTGAAAAAACAAGACATAGAGCAAAGTTGTAGAGTATGTTATTTGTGTTGACTGTGTTTTTAAAGAATATATTCAGATGTTTTCATTTATGAATAGAATACTTCTGGAAGGACACAGTCATTATGGGAATTGCCTCTGGGAAGCACTGGGAGGAGGGAAGAAAAGGATGGAGACTTAAGTTACCTTTTTAAAGCAACAAATTGAACTTTGTCTTTAACTTCATGGTCTGGTAGGAAAGCATTAAAAGACAGGGAAGAAGGGGAAAATGGAGGAGCAAATTACTAGTGACTAGACTCCTCAGTCTTGTCACTGGAAGGGACTTCTGAAGTCATGCCCTCTGTGGACCTCCTTCTGCCATACCCTGATTAGGCCATTTCTTCTGAAGTGTTTCTCTGTGAAAGGCTCTTCTGCCTTCTCTTAACTATAACCTACTTAATAAATCTAGTATTCCTTTTACAGAGAGTGTCCTTAGCTACCATACTGCACCCGTCTAGCTGACACCACCTTCACCATCAGGCCTCCAATAACTGCCAGCTGATTGTCTACTTTTCTCAACAAGTCCTTGGGCATAAACTACTGTACACGCTGATCCAATTAGATCCAGGACCCTCCGGGTCGTTCCCACACAGGATGGCTCTTTCTTTCTTTGGTTATCTTTGTCAGATTTCTGGATGGGCTACAGTTTAGTCTGAATATAGCTACTCACCTCCTCTTAATCACTTATAACCAATAATCTCCACTGTATTTCACAGCATCCTTAGTCTGGAACTTTCTTGCCTCCACCTGGGAGAAAATCTCCACACCACTGCTTTGGAGGGACAACAGCCCACTTCCCTTGGGGTGACAGTCCTGCTTTCTAAGCAGAGCCCTGGGTGTGGTGGTTGCCCTTCGTTAACTTGACTCACAACTCCCAGTAGTTGGGGTGATGGTGACCAGGGCCTAGAATCCTTGGCCTGCGGTGCCTGGAGTGGAGATTCCACCCCATGGTTGGAGGTTAGGTGGGAAAGGAAAGCAACTGCTCTCTGCTGAAATCGAGCTACTGCCTACTGCAACCTGGAGCTGGGGGGGTGGGATGCCAGGTGCTGGTGAGATACACAGCCCTAGAGCAGGAGCTGGCACAGGAGGGAGTCTGGTGGTCCTGGTTGTACCCATAGGGCAAAGCTCCCACATCCCTGGGCCTGGGCAATGTGGATAATGGAGCAGTCAGGGTTTAGTGCCACAGACTCTTCATGTTCTTACGGAGATTTAGATTTTCATGATTATACGTTACTCCATTTGCTGTACTTTTTAAAAAATAATTTTCAACAGTTATGGTTATTTCACTAGGGGGAAGATCCACAAAGCTTCTCACAAGCCATTGCACACTAAAGCTTACATCTTAAGAGAGCAGGATTTTTTTATATTCACTCGAAAAAAAATTAGCTGCTCTTTGTTTCTGATGTACATTTCTGTTACACAGATCCTAAGTGTGATGATCTGTTAAGTTCTCTTCTGGCTTTAAACATGTGAATTGATATTTTCAATGGTCATTGTCTTTAAATTACTCAGAGATACTTAATACATATGTCTCTATTTCCTATGCTACTTTCATAATCTAGAATACCATGGTTAACAAATGCCTTGCATACTCAGATAATTTTGTGTACCTTTGTAGAGGTGGGCTAAGAGATACCCCAAATATGAAAATAATTAAACTCATCTATCTACCAAAATTGCATAGAAATAAGTCAGGGTTATTGTGGAAGCCTTGTAGCAGAAATTGTATGATACTCACTAAGCATAAAACTGCTCTAGATAAAGCCATAAGAATGCATCTGTCCTGTACACCTACAATATTTACCAATATTCTCTTTTGTGTACTGCTAAAAAAGCACTAATTTGTTTTAAGTATACACACACACACACACACATATATATATATATAAAACCACTCACTGAGTTGAAATCTATCAAGGGACAGGCCCTGGTAACTGCAGGAGACTCATGAGAGACATGCCCCCTCCTTCAGCTCCGGAGCCCACTGATCCTATGCAACAATGCACTTACACCCTGCTGTATGAGGGCAGGGCATGGGGAAACGAGCTGGTTGATAAAGGATGTGAAAGCATTAACTAGGAGGAGCAACATCAATCCATCATTTCAGGAGGAGAAAATGGCCAGAGATACGGCTGTACAGGAGAGCATGGGATATTAGAGGAACAAATCTTAGGACTGGGGAAGTAAAGAATAAGGGGAAACAATAAGATGTGATAGTGGGAGGGAGCTAAGCAATCAATTAGTGGGAAGTCATTAAAGTCTTACCCAGGTTAATAAAGTTGTTACGTTTACATTTTAGAGAGCTCACTGGAGCGGCTCTGTGAAAAGTCAATGAACAGCAAATGCAGCCCCTCTCTGGCTGAGAAACAGGCCATGGGCCTACAGCACCACTGCAGATGGGCTGACTCTACATTCAGATAACAGACCTATTTTATGCTAACAGACAGTAAAGGAGGTGGCTGTTCAGGGTGTCTCCCAAGGTTAGGCTTAGGCAACCAGATTATTCAAATAGTGACAGCAAAACTGTGGTGATCAATGAAGACACATTGTCCATATTACAGATGCTCAGACTTGATGGTCATGTGGCCTCCAGGAGGCTATGTCACTGGGCAACTCAATACAGATCTAAGCTCAGGACGGAGGTAGGAGCTAAAGGCACAGATTCTGGCATATCGATGTTGGTAAGGACCATTAGAATAGCTAAGGTCACCCAGTAAGAGCCTACAGAAGGCAGCTGAAGGCAGGTTATCTACAGTAAATATTAACAATGAAATGACAGATGGAGAGAGGAACCAGTAAATGAACTTTTGGTCTGAAGTCCTAGCTCAGTCAAGATAACAAATATATATTAAAACACAACAAATAAAACTTGGAACACACTGGTGATTATAATCCTAAAGCTACTTAACATCCGAAAAGAATTTAAAATTACTTTAGGAGTAAGTCCAGAAGAGTAACAGTCATTTTACTAGTAACTAAAGTAGGTATTACCTATTCTGAAATAACCATCTTCTAATCGTTTGTCTTTGGTTTCTCTGCTTATTTCCAAACCTTCACTCTAAAATAGAACAAAAGTATTAATTTTACAAATAATTATTTCTATTTAAAACAAAGCTAAGTTAGTAATGAATTTAAATAAATATAAAAGTGACATTTGTGGTAGTTATCTCTAAGAAGAGAAAATGTCATCTCAGTCTTGACCTGAAGGGTCTTATCAATATCATTATTCTCTTTTTAAATCATAATCTGAATCTGTATATAATATATTGGTGATTAGAGAATTTAAAATTTTAATTAATTTCAAATTTAAATCAATTTACTAGAACACTATTTTCTATTAAAACTATACAGAAGAACTATGTGTTAACTTGAAAGGAATCTAAGCATTCCTTAGAAACAAATGAATTAGTTTTGTGTATTAGTCAATAGGCATTAAAATCACATGGTACTTTGGGACGCCAAAGATAAATAGCAGGTAAACACTCAAGTAAAATAACGATTCATTCATTTTTCTAGTATAAACTTCCAAGTTATTTTCCACTAGGAAACAAAATGAAGACTCTTGCTATGCATAAGGCAAGAAACTGATATTACTCACTACGGAGACCCTGAAATCATGAGAATTTTCTTTCACCTCATAAGCAAGAACACCTTCAAACCAAGTCTACTTACTGCTATCAGTTCTTATGGAAAAATAAGGGGGGGAAAAAGTCATACCTTAAAAGGCAAAACTTCCACAGTTGTGTTTAGCAGAATGTCTCCTGGATGTTCTTGGTTGCCACTATGGAACAAATAACTGGAAATACAAACAAAAACAAAAATGTGAGTCAGACTAGAATTTACAAAGATCCTAGAAGATGGCCTTACCTCCGAGGAAGCTTTTAAAACAAGATTCTAAGTCAACAACACTAGAACTTGCATGGTTGTATTCTGAGTAGTCATAGGGAACTGAACTACAGGCTACAACCCTTAGGTGATGTATCAACTACCCCTGTCAGAAAGGGCTTGTTGGCTGCTTAAAACAATAACGTACTTGACAGATAAAGAAAGATGATGAGTTTTGTGTTGCTGTTTACTCTGCTTTAAGTATATAAACCTCTTGACAGGGATAATCAAAACTGTAGTGGCTATATAACACTGCATCTTGTATCAGAGAAAATTTTCACTAGGACAACACCAGTCATGGCAAGTTCAAAGACCAGTGTTTTATCCAATACAAATAATTTCAGTATTAGTAGACTGAAGATGAATTAACCAATTCTAAATATCTGAATAACTGAACTTGTCAATACTAACAAATATTTGAATAGTGACTGATTACATGATACACTGTGATAAATCTAAAATACTAGGTGTGAGGATAATGTTGTTTTGATAGTCTACTGGTGCCTATGTGTAAGTTGTTGTGGGAGGAAGAACCTAGAGAGGGCATATAAAACCTATCTAAATCTAAACCTAAAACTGGAGTTAAGTTAAATGGCTCAAAGTTTATCCATAGGAGTCAGAAAGACCTGGATCCAAATTTTGGATTTCTCATTTCTTAGAATTTTTACCTTAGGCAAGTTATATTAGCTTTCTGAGGCTGGGTTTTCTCTATACAATGCACATATTTCTCCAACCTCACATGACTGTACCAAATTGCTTATGAGAACTAACAAAAAGTTCCTTTCATGTTAAAAATACTCAGCAAGTAGTAGTTACAGAATGGTAATGATATGGTATGGCATTTGTCAGCAAAAATCACCAGTGACAAGGACTTGATTTTCACAAGTTAGGGTACCCAAGTAAGAAACTCCTTCTAGACTACACCAAAAATCACTTCCAGGATTTTCAAATGAGAGATATTTTTTTGAAGGCATCTTTGACTTGATATGCTATTTCCTCTAACCATGGGCCATTCAGTATCTCAGCTACAGATGCAGAAATACAGAACAGAGTGAAAAAGAGCCCATGGATATAATTTGGAGTTTAAACAGACTGATTCAGAGATGTTCACTATGTGATTATTTATAGTGAAAAACTCAGGAACACCAGAAAAGTTTAACCTAAGAACTTTGCAATGGAATACTGTGTAGTAGTTAAAATGTTTATCAGTCACTGAAGACAAAGTATAACTGAAAACGTAAGATCAATTACACACAGACCTCAAAGTAGAAAATGAACAGAACTACTAAGAAAAAAGTGTGTCAAGGACACAAGGTTGTCCTTGGGGTTATGATTTTTTTCCTTATTCTTCATACTTTAAAATTTTTGTATAATGAATATATATATCTTTCTAACATATATTCCTAAGTCAGAGAATATTCTTCCTAACACTTCATTTCTGTATAGATAATCACAACTTCTGCTTTTTCCCCTTTCAGTAAATAAGTTACTGTGGAGACAAAAAAGTGATGCCTTTTCTCTGTCTTAAGAAGGGTGGGGCAATCTATGAAGTCTAAGAAAATTCACATGCACTATGATTTTAGAAGAACTGTGTTTTACTAGAAATGTACATTCAGTAGGGGCATGTAAATATTATTTTACAGAGGTTTGTTGTAAATGTAATTGTTTAAAAATTTGATCTTTAAAAGGCGAGTGCTCTTTAGAAGCTTCTCTCATGAAATTATTTTCATTTGCTGAAAACAAACCACTAGATGTTGTTTGGGGCTCTTGTTCATGAGGAGGAAGAAAACTGTTGTTTCTAATTCTATGATGACTCTTAAATGTAGTAAACAAAGTGCAGAGTGCCATTATACACTATAAAAATGAACATTAAGATTCAAGATGGAGACATGAGAGCTGAGACAGAGAACTCCTCCCAAAACCACAGATAGTATGAAAATATAGTTAATACAACTAGCCCTAAGACAGCAACAGGAAAGAAGGCTGCACCAGACTGCCTCATGAACAGAGCAGACCTCACAAAACAGGGCCTTGATCTGGCGGGACCTGAGCCCTTCCCCTGCCCCAGCTCACCAGCAGGAGGAAGAGAAATGGAGCAGGGAGAGGGTGGAGGCCTGGGACTGCTGAACACCAGGCCCCGGGGCTCTGCTTTGCAAGCAGAAACCTACATTGTGTGGTGCTCTGGAGGATGAGGAGATGGGACAGGAGGAGTGCTTGAGAGACAGATTCTAGCCGTTTCTGGAGGATGGGATCCACAACCGGCCGCTCTGGGACAAGGGAAAGGCAGGCAGTATGACAAGCTCCCTAGCAGCAAGAGGGCTGCTGAAGGGGCAGGGTTTCCACAGAGCTTCCTGCATGGGAGAAGGGACAGGGGGACAAGGTTGTCTGGACGTGCTTTGCCCAGCAAGTTGAGAACTTTGGGAAGCTTCAGGTGCCCCATCCCCCTGGCTGCCTACTCAGCTCCGAGGCCCCCCTCACTGGGACATGCGGCCTGCCGCACCTTCCTCCTGGCCTGCCAGCACCAGCTGACAAACTGGAAGTCACTGCTCTGGCATCAGGCCAGCCAGAGGGAGACCCCACCTACAACAGCTAGAGATGCCAAGCACAGAGGCTTATACCTGTGTACTCAGCCCAATGGCTGATACAGAAGACAGGCAGCACAGATGGGAATCAGAAAACAGATATTTCCTCCCCCAGGCACCAGTGCCACTCTCCTACGGCCCCCAACCTCACTCTAGGGGCTAAGCAGCTCCAGAGACTGGAGCTTCTGGGCACTAGTGGGCACACACAGAGATATGAAATGTCAAAAGAACATGGTTCACACCAAAATCTCACAAACCCCACAAAATGGGCCAAATGAAACGGAACTCACCAATCTTCCTGAAAGAGAGTTCAAAATAAAAATCATAAACATGCTTATGGAGGTACAGAAAAATATTCAAGAACTCAGGAACAAATTTAAGACACAGATTCAATCATTAAGAAATTCCATATCTGAAATGGAACATACAATGGAGGGATTTAAAAGCAGATTAGAGGTAGTAGAAGAGAAGGTAAATGGAATAGAAATTAGAGAAAAGGAATACAAAGAAGCTGAGGCACAGAAAGAAAAAAGGATCTCTAAGTATGAAAGAATATTGAGAGAACTGTGTGACCAATCCAAATGGAAAAATATTCGCATTATACGGGTACCAGAAGAAGAAAAGAGAGAAAAAGGGATAGAAAGTGTCATTGAGCAAGTAACTGCTGAAAACTTCCCCAATCTGGGGAAGGTGATAGTCTCTCAAGCCATCAAGATGGACAGATCTCCCAACACAAGGGACCCAAGGAAGACAACATCAAGACATATAATATTAAAATGGCAAAGATCAAGGATAAAGACAGACTTATAAAAGCAGCTAGAGAGAAAAAAAGGATCACATACAAAGGAAAACCCATCAGGCTATCATCAGACTTCTCAACAGAAACTTTACAGGCCAGAGAGTGGCATGATACATTTAATGCAATGAAGCAGAAGGGACTCAAACCAAGAATACTCTACTAGGCAAGGTTATCATTTAAATTTGAAGGAGGGATTTAAAAATTTCAAGATAAGCAAAATCTGAGAGAATTTACCTCCCACAAACCACCGCTACAGTGCATTTTGGAGGGACTGCTATAGATGGAAGTATTCCTAAAACTAAATAGATGTCACCCAAGGGATAGACAAAGAGTACAGAATATGATTCATAACATATAAAGAATGGAGGAGGAAGAAAAAAAGGAAAAAAAAAGAATCATTAAGTTGTATTTCTAATAGCATATGAAGTGAGTTAAATTAGACTGTTAGATAGTAAGGAAATTATCCTTGAACCTTTGGTAGCCACAAATCTAAAGCCTGCAATGGCAATAAGTGCATAACCTATCAATAATCACCCTAAATGTAAATGGTCTGAATGCACCAATCAAAAGACGTAGAGTCACTTGAATGGATAAAAAAACAAGACCCATCTATATACTGCCTACAAGAGACTCACTTCAAACCCAAAGACATATACAGACTGAAAGTAAAGGGATGGAGAAAGATATTTCATGCAAATAATATGGAGAAAAAAGCAGAGGTTTCAGTACTTGTATAAGATAAAATAGACTTCAAAACAAAGAAAGTCACAGGAGACAAAGAAGGACATTACATAATGATAAAGGATTCAGACCAACAAGAGGACATAAATGTTATTAATATCTATGCACCCAACACAGGATCTCCTACAAATGTGAAACCAATATTAACAGAATTAAAGGGGGAAACAGAATGCAATGCATTTATTTTGGGAGACTTCAACACACCACTCACTCCAAAGGACAGATCAACCAGACAGAAAATAAATAAAGAGACAGAGGCACTGAACAACATAGTAGAACAGATGGACCTAACAGATATCTACAGAACACTCCATCCAAAACAACAGGATACACATTCTTCTCAAGTGCACATGGAACATTTTCAAGAATACATCATATACTCGGCCACAAAAAGAGCCTCAGTAAATTCAAAAAGATTGAAATTGTACCAACCAGCTTCTCATATCACAAAGTATGAAACTAGAAATAAATTACTCAAAGGAAGTGAAAAAGCCCACAAACACATGGAGGCTTAATAACATGCTCCTAAATAACCAATGGATCAATGACCAAATAAAAAGAGAAATCAAGCAATATATGGAGACAAATGACAACAATAATTCAACACTGCAAAATCTGTGGGATGCAAAGGCTGTGCTAAGAGGGAAATATATTGCAATACAGGCCTACCTCAGGAAACAAGAACAATCCCAAGGGAACAGTCTAAACTCACAATTAACGAAACTAGAAAATGAAGAACAAACGACAAAAAAGACATCCTACAGTATGGGAAAATATATTCATAAATGACATTTCCTTTAAGATTGGGAAGAAGATAAGGATGCCCACTCTCCCCACTTTTATTCAACATAGCTCAAAGTCAGTAGAAGGAGGGACATAATAGAGATTAAAGCAGAAATAATTAAAATTGAAAAGAATAAAACAACAGAAAGAATCAATGAAAGCAGGAGCTGGTTCTTCAAGAAAATAAACAAAATAGATAAACCCCTAGCAAGATTTAGCAAGAAAAAAAGAGAGTCTACACTCATAAACAGAATCAGAGATGAGAAAGGAAAAATCACTACAGACACCACAGAAATACAAAGAATTATGAGAGAATACTATGAAAAACTATAGGCTGACAAACTGGATAACCTAAAAGAAATGGACAACTTTCTAGAAAAATACAACCTTCCAAGGCTGACCCAGGAAGAAACAAATAATCTGAATAGGCCAATTACCTGCAAAGAAATTGCACTGGTAATAAAAAAACTACCTAAGAACAAAACCCCCGGACCAGATGGTTTCACTGCTAAAATTTATCAAACATTTAGTGAAGACCTAATGCCCTTCCTCCTTAAAGTTTTCCAAAAAGTAGAAGAGGAGAGAGTACTCCCAAACTCATTCCACAAGGCCAGCATCACTCTAATACCAAAACCAGGCAAAGACACCACAAAAAAGTAAATTACAGACCAATATCTCTGATGAACATAGATGCAAAAATACTCAACAAAATATTAGCAAACCGAACTCAAAAATACATCAAGAGGATCATACACCATGACCAAGTGGGATTCATCCCAGGGATGCAAGGATGGCACAACATTCAAAAACTCATCAACATCATCAACCACATCAACAAAAAGAAGGACAAAAACAACATGATCATCTCCATAGATGATGAAAAAGCATTAGACAAAATTCAACATCCATTCATGATAAAAACTCTCAACAAAACACATATAGAGGGCAAGTACCTCAACATAATAAGCCATATACGACAAACCCACAGCCAACATCATACTTAACAGCAAGAGACTGAAAGCTTTTCCTTTAAGATTGGGAACAAGACAAGGATGCCCACTCTCCCCACTGTTATTCAACATAGTACTGGAGGTCCTAGCCATGGCAATTAGACAAAACAAAGAAATAAAAGGCATACAGATTGGTAAGGAAGAGGTCAAACTGTCCCTGTTTGCAGATGATATGATATTGTACATAAAAAACCCTACAGAATCCACTCCAAAAGTACTAGAATATCTGAATTCAGTAAAGTTGCGGGATACAAAATTAATATACAGAAATCTGTGGCATTTCTATACACTAAAGGTGAATTAGCAGAAAGAGAAATCAGGAAAACAAATCCATTCACAATTGCATCAAAGAGAATAAAATACCTAGGAATAAACCTAACCAAGAAAGTGAAAGACTTATATACTCTGAAAACTACAAGACACTCATGAGAGAAATTAAAGAGAAACCAATAAATGGAAACACACCCCATGCTCATGGATAGGAAGAATTAATATTGTCAAAATGAACATCCTACCTAAAGCAATCTACAGATTCAATGCAATCCCTATCAAAATACTAACAGCATTCTTCAATGAACTAGAGTAAATAGTTCTAAAATTCATATGGAACCACAAAAGACCCTGAATAGCCAAAGCAATCCTGAGAAGGAAAAATAAAGTGGGGGGAATAACGCTCCCTGACCTCAAGCTCTACTATAAAGCCACAGTAATCAAGAAAATTTGGTACTGGCACAAGAATAGACCCATACACCAATGGAACAGACTAGAGAGGCCAGATATAAACCCAAGCCTATATGGTCAATTAATATACAATAAAGGAGCCATGGACATACAATGGGGAAATGACAGCCTCTTCAACAGCTGGTGTTGGCAAAACTGGACAGCTACATGTAAGAGAATGAAACTGGATCACTGTCTAACCCCATACACAAAAGTAAACTCAAAGTGGATCAAAGACCTAAATGTAAGCCATGAAACCATAAAACTCTTAGAAAAAAACATAGGCAAAAATCTCTTGGACATAAACATGAGCAACGTCTTCATGAACATATCTCCCTGGGCAAGGGAAACAAAAGAAAAAATGAACAAGTGGGACTATATCAAGTTGAAAAGCTTCTGTATAGCAAAGGACACCATCAATAGAACAAAAAGACATCCTAGTATGGGAGAATATATTCACAAATGACATATAGGATAAGGGGTTGACATCCAAATTATATAAAGAGCTCACACACCTCAACAAACAAAAAGCAAATAAGCCAATTAAAAAATGGGCAGAGGATCTGAACAGACACTTCTCCAAAGAAATTCAGATGGCCAACAGGCACATGAAAAGATGCTCCATATCACTGATCATCAGAGAAATGCAAATTAAAACCACAATGAGGTATCACATCACACCAGTTAGGATCACCAACATCCAAAAGACAAACAACAACAAATGTTGGCGAGGATGTGGAGTAAGGGGAACCTCCTACACTGCTGGTGGGAATGTAAACTAGTTCAACCATTGTGGAAAGCAGTATGGAGGTTCCTCAAAAAACTAAAAATACAAATACCATTGGACCCAGGAATTCCACTCCTAGGAATTTACCCTAAGAATGCAGCAGCCCAGTTTGAAAAAGACAGATGCACCTCTATATTTATCACAGCACTATTTATAATAGCCAAGAAATGGAATCAACCTAAGTGTCCATCAGTAGATGAATGGATAAAGAAGATGTGGTACATATACACCATGGAATATTATTCAGCCATAAGAAGAAAACAAATCCTACCACTTGTAACAACATGGATGGTGCTAGAGGGTATTATGCTCAGTGAAATAAGCCAGGCAGAGAAAGACAAGTATCAAGTGATTTCACTCATCTGTGGAGTATAAGCACAAAGAAAAAACTGAAGGAGGAAAACAGCAACAGACTCACAGAACCCAAGAATGGACTGACAGTTACCAAAGGGAAAGGAACTGGGGAGGATGGGTGGGAAGGGAGGGATAAGGGGGGGAAAGGGGTATTATGATTAGAATACATAATGTAGCAGGGGGGTGTAATACGGGGAAGGCAGTATAACACAGAGAAGACAAGAAGTGATTCTTTAGCATCTTACTATGCTGATAGACAGTGACTGTAATGGGATATGTGGTGGGGACTTGATAATAGGGGGAGTCTAGTAACCATAATATTGCTCATCTAATTGTACATTAATAATAGCAAAAAGAAAAAGAACATTAAATAACCAAAATTATATACTCATATAAGTGTAAAATATTACTCTAAATTATTTTTATGTGTTTTTCCAGTGATATTCCCATTGCTTAAACTTTTACAGTTAAAATTGCTCTTTAGAATCAGTTTAGAATAACAAAAGCAAGTTATGTTACTGTAGCTATGGATTGTTTTGACCACCTTAAATAGAATTATTATTCCAAATGACTTTTGGCAGATTCTAAAAACCAAATAGCCTTCATACAAGAAGATATAATATAATAATGCTACAAGGTGGAAAAATATATTCTATTCTGTGGATTACATTTACCTATACCACAGACAGTCTGAGGAACATACCCAACAGTGAGGACAGGTTTAAGGAATCATGACTGCTAAGTAAAAACAGAGAGAAAAAGTCCTAAGATTTATAAAATGAGCATAAATGCTGAAAACATATAAAAAGGTCATGAATTCCTCTACAGTGTACTAAAAAACAATGAACATTTGCAAAACCACTGACTAGAAATAGTGGTGATCTGTCAAATTTATCATTTCAACCAAAACCATGGGTAATCAACTACTTTCCCTAATCTTAACAGATATGCTAGGATATGAAAACTAATTTGAGATTTTGGGGGAGAATGCTACATAAAAGTATTTAAAAACTATACTAAATATACATTCAGAAATACCAATAGAATTTTTTTCAAACATGCTACATGCTGACAGTGTATCTGAACAGAACACATTTTATTACTGAGCTGGAGCAAATGGGCTTTATAACCCAACATTTGGGACCTTCTGTCTGTTCATATCTGTTATACATGAAAAAGTTCCACCATAAATCACAGTATGAATAAGCAGTCTGAAGTATGAGACAGAATAAATTTCAATCATCACCAACCTTTCTACATTGACTGGCTTATCAAATTTAAACAAGATGTAGTCTCCAGCTATCGGGGTTATAGCCCAGAAGAAATCCTCCCCCATGTAAGTTTTCTCCAGTGTATGTCCTTGGTAGACCTTCAAAGAAGTAGATACCTCTGCTGGTGGGTTTACATGTATTTTAAGAAGTAATGGTTTCATGTAATCTTTATCCTAGAAGGAAAGACATATATGCTATTAAACAATATATAACTTGTTCATATGTAAGAAGAGCAATGAGTATACAATAAAAAACAAATTGTATGTGCATGACAAAATCAGATCAAGTCACCAACCGTGAGTTTCTGAATTTTTCCTGTGAGTGAAGAATGCAGACCAACATGTTGGAAAAGGGAAGGTCTGAAGCGAATGCGCAGATTTGCTTTCTGTCTATCACAATGTTTCTAAATATAAAAAAAAAATCAGGTTAATGTAACAATATAAAGTGAAACCTTGTTCTCATCTGAAAAATTAGAAGTCCATTAGAAGAATATTTTAAAAAATCCAACTTCACCTCATAATAATTCCTAGTCATATGTATTTATGCCTCTTTGAGGCATTACTTCATTAGCATTATTACTAACACTAGAAGAGAGGTGAAATGGTTTATTTACACAAATTCAAGTACTCAGTAAGTGAGAAGTTGAAGAGTGTGAGAAAGGGAGAAGGAAGGGTTGGGAGAGTAAAGGGGAAGAACAAAGGGAGGGAGAGAAGGGAAGGTGGAGCAGACAGAGCGAGGGCAGTGCAGACAGCCCCCGCCTGAGACAGAGCCCATCACTCAACAGGACACAGTCGGGTCTAAAGAGTCAAAGCCAGTCTATAAACCTTTGGAAGAAAGTGTGACTGCGCTGAAGGGTTTCTCAGACCACTGTCAAAGAGATACTGTTCCAGAGGCCATCCTAGTGGAAGCAACTGAAGACCCCTAGGCCTCAGAAAAACATGGCCTAAGGAAGAGTGAAAGAATAGATCAAGCTGTCCAAAGGGTTGTGCACTAAAATTTATAGATGATTTAAAGTATTTTTAGCATCCTAAAAACTAATGGGCAGGATCAAACTATTCTAGGGAATACAAGGTCATGAAGTCACATTAAGTGCTTGTTAGAATGTTCGATCAACCCTATAATGACATGTGCTTATAATAAATATTTCCTTGTTATTATACATCAAAACTGACTTTTCATTTTTAAGAATGTATACATTCATATTTTATTTATGTTTACACCAGATAAATAAATATTTGGGTTTTTTTTCCCAGAGGTACGACTCAAACTGGACAAGGAAAACGTATCTAATAACTTTTACAATAAGATTTCTATGGATGTAACAATCAAAGCAAAAATCGTTGTTCACTTAGTTACCTGTCACTGCCATCCGCCACCCAGAGGGCAGCACATTAATAGGAAGATAGGTTTCTTACAAGTGATACACTGAAAGGCACTTTTTTGACTTGCCATTGCTGTGGTATAAAACATTACTTCTATATTATTCCTTATTCCCAGATGTGCTGAGGTCTCCTATTGTTGCCAAAGTATTTGAAAAAAGAAAGCTGACAGGAGAATATGAAGAAAACTGAAACAATACCCCACATAGGACAGATATGTTCAACATCTATAGCAGAGCCTAAAAATGCTATAAACATCTATCAGCAATTTAAAAAAAGGTGGGCTTCACTGATTTACAGGACTTTCCACTCTTATTTAAAAGTCCCTCATATAATGCAGGAACTTTCCTCAGTTCAAGAAAGAAAGTGAAATGTTAAGTGGAAACACTGTTTTCTTTTAGCCATCTGTTTAACTCTTCATTTACAAAATCTGGCTCCCCAAAAGTCACTTTCATGAAGTGTAGAAAAGAAGCCTCTTCCATCCTCATAAGAAATTCACTTACTGCATCTTTTTCAGGGTTGCAGACTTTCACCCAGAGAATATGGTCTAAGAGCCAGTCAATAGGTTTCTCTTTATAGAACATAAATATGAACTCTACAATCAGAGTGAGGTCTGGTGCTTGGAACATTTTACCTGAAAAGATATTATCAGTCAATAGGTGCAGTAAAGAAACCAAGGATCAAAATGGACAAGAAATACACTAAAGCATGTGCTTTCAACTATAAATCATTATAAGTAATTTCCCCACTTGTCTTGTCAAAAACAAACAAATTTGCTTTAGCTAAACATTGTGGATGTCACCTGGGTATAAAAAGAAGTACTGATTTCCTGACTTTCTCTATTACAAAATCTATCATGCAACTACTGCCTCCAAGGATTCAAGAAGCAAGTCAGAGATTGTTCCTTTATATCTTACTAAGATTCTTCCCATAAAAAAAGGAACTTCAGAGGTTTAGGTAAAATATTTTTTAATTAAATTGATAAATACAAAAAACAAGAACTCCTAATTCTGTCGTACTGGAATTTTCACAAGTAAAGATGTTTTCTGACTCTTAAGTTTTGAGATAAATGACAACAAGGCCAAAGTCCCATGCTCTTAGTATTAGTTTTAAAGTACTGGAGGAAGTGAAATGTTATCCTCTGGGTGTTTTTTAAAACATACAAATGTCCTTCAATTCTTCAGTTTTAAAACAAATATGTTGCAAAATTTAGGTATTTCAATGAAACAACTTTTTAAATGAGCAAGCACCCTGACTAGTCAATGGAAGCAACAAATCAACACAAATTAATCATTGAACAAAAATTTCATATACTATATCAAATATCAGAAATTCATATTAGAAAACAGTGTGGCATTCTTTTGCAAAGAACCCCAATCCCGCAAAAGCACTGAGCCATTAATGAGGAACTGGAGACCATCAGAGAAGACCCCGGGCATGCTCACGAGGGACGACAGTTGGCTGTGTGTATATACAAGAAGCCAGTAGGGCTGCCATGTAGAATTCCAGAGTAAATATTAGTCTTAAGTCTTCAACTCCTATGGACTGACTTTCATCATTTCATACATGGCAGTTCACCTAAGTTAAATTTCCTCAAAAGCACTCCATTTCCAGAGAAAAAGGACAACTTTAAAGTAAAAAAGTTCTAAGAGTCACAGTTCTTTCCAAAAAGCAGACAAAGCTGACACTTTCTTACCAATGAAGCCCAGCTGGGAAAACTCTAGTATCATCCATTCCTCAGAAGAAAGTTGAAGTGCAAAATTTTTTATAGTGTTAAAGTAATTCTGTTTGACAATAATATCATCTTCAAGCTAAAGAAAGTTGAACAATCATATTAATATTGTCAGAAGGGAAAGGAAAGATTTAGGCAGAAGGACATAATTATGCAAAAACTCAAGCACACCTTTATAATGAAAATCAAGATAACGTCAAATGTCAAAAATGATAAAAATATAAAAATAAATCTTATTAAAAGAAAATGAGGAAAGTCAAATGGAAGATGCACACAGCAAGCCAACTAACCTGCTCCCTTCCCGCAGCATCACTCAGTGAGTCAATCCTTGTTGGCCCTTTCATAGTGACCAACATGATTGTACAATATGGTTTTTTCTTTTCAAAAGGAAAGAATTCTTGTAGACCTTTAAATTTATTTTGCTTTTCACATAATACAAGTCAAAGAGAAAGTCAAACAAAAAGCTAGCAGCTTTCCTTTTCCGCCTTCCACCCTGCTAGGTGAGGTGACCAATGTTAAAAGTTGGGTGTGCATCCACTCAACATCTTGTGTATAAACCTAGAACACATATATACCCACATCTACTTAAACTTTCCATCCATATTTATATTTTTATAAAAAAGGGATATTATAAAACTGACTTTCTTCTCTTAATATATTATGAATATCTTTCCATATGAATATTTATTTAAAACATCCTTTAAATAGATGCATAACATTCCATAGTATCAATGAATAATTCATTCAATTCTTCCCTGCTCACAGACAGACATCCAGGTTGTTTCTTGTTTTTACTCAATGCAAACAGTGCTGCAATAAATATACTTACATATTAGTGTTGTTCATTTCTGTAGGATAGACTTCCATGAGTTCTGTTTTTGTATTTTAAGAGATATCTCCACAGTACTCAAGAAGCTGTAGCAATTCAGAGTGCCAATTAGCCTCATGCTCTGCCAGCACCATGTGTTATCTACACTTGGGATTTTTACCAGTTCAACAGGGAACTGACAGAGACCAGGGACCATGAGTATATGCAGACTTTTCTGCACAATCTCCCTTCTTAACATTTTGAAGTCACAAAATGATTTTAGTATCTTAAGAAAAGTTTCCCTTTTCCTAATCTTATGTAATCATTTCTAGTTACCTGTTAAGTAATTTTCCTTTTGTTAGTATTTAGATTTTTCATGGATTTGAATCCTACAAGCTATCTTCTTCCTATCTGTGAAGAAATAGTAGTAGTATGTGGAAAGATATGTTATTGACTCACCAAATATTTGTTGAGCTTCTATTGTGTTCGAGACATAGTATTAAACCCCAGGAATAGATCAGTGGATAAACAAGATGTATTTTATGCTCTCAGAGCTTTAGGGGAGCTGGAAGGAAACTAGACAAAACATACAGCTATGCTGGCACCTAACCTTCCTTTCTGGAAGAAGAGATGCCTACACCTTCAAACCTAAACATTTACTGTATAGCCCACAGGAAAGGAGATCCCTATTATCAGGCAATTCCAAATTTTTCCAAAAAGTAAATTTAAAAAAAAGTTAGGGGCTAATTTAAATATATAGAGATAGAGATGAAATAGTCAAATGCCTATTAAAATTTGGTAAAATTTTGGTTACCATACATAAATTAACATTTTTAATATTAAATTAGAAAAATTGCTTTGTTCCACTCTCACATCTCATCAAAAAACTTCACTTTTAAAAAATATTAAGATAATTGCTGATTCATATGTAGTGGTAAGAAATACAGAGAGATCCCAAACACCCTTCATCCATTTTCCCCCAATACAACATGTACTATAACAGCACAGTACAACCTGCAAACTGACTTTGATACCATTCATCGACCTTATTCAAATGTCATCAGCTTTACATGCATGGGGTTGTGTGTGTGGGATGTGTGTATTTAATTTCATGCAACTTTATCTCACTGTATAGCTACCACCACAGGTAGGAGACAGACCAGTCCCAGCGTGAGGATGCTTCATGCTACCCTCCTCATCCACAGCCATCTTCCTGCCCAACCGCCCTTTCTAGCCTTTGGTAACCAGTAGTCTGTTCTCCATCTCGGTAATTTTGTCATTTGAAGAATGTTATATAAATGGAATCATACAGTATGCAACCTTTCATGATTGGCTTTTTAAACTCAGCATAATTCCCGTGAGATACAAGATGTTGTGTTTATCAATAGTTTGTTTATTTTCATTACTTAGTATTATTCCATGGTATGGATATACCACCATTTGTTCATTCACCTGCTAAAGAACATTTGGGTTGTTCCCAAATTTTAGCCATTAATACTATCTTTATATAATTATTATATATTATATATTTTGCTTAATGTTTAAAAAGTACAAGAAGAGACCAAAATGAAATGGTGGTTACCATGGGGAAGAGAGGATACAGGGTGAAAGGGACACAGATAAAAGTTAGACTTCTGTGAATGTATCTTATTTTATTTAAGTTTTGATTTTGGATTGTAATTTTTTTTTTTTACAACTAAAAAGGAAAAATATCCTATAAACTGAAACAATTGAACCTAGTTTCATATCAAGTTGGCAGCAAGGTCACACAGTATAAAGAATTACTTCAAATGCCTTTCAAACACAGAATTTGACTATATATTTATATCACAATATAGTCTGGGTGCAGGCGGTAAAGGACAAAGAAAATTTAATTTGCATTCAGCTGTCTAATTGCTAGTAGTGATATTGGTATTCTTATTTTCACTATTTTAGATATACTACAGAATAAAAGGATTGTTATTAAAACCCAAGACTTTTAAGAGAAAAGAAACACATGTATAAATTCAAAAAAGAAAAAATTCTGTAATTGTAAGTTGAACTGAAAATATCTATATAAACTTGCAATACTTTCTCTCCAAAAAATAAAATGCTCTTTTCCTTGCTAAAAGTTCTAGAAGCAATGACACCACAATAGCAAAGAACATGTAAGCACCCAGATGGTCCTAAATACCATGTGCACTAAAAGAAACAGAGCTCCTTAGAGAAATGGCTGATTCCAGGTCTCAGATAAGAAATGAACAAGATGTGCCAGTTGGCAAAGAAGTGATCAAAGAAACTGGACTTCCATGGAAAGAATACAAGAGCCAATCTGAAGAGATTCCACTGGTTTGTGATGTACCAAGGTGAACATCAGTATGACTAATGATTGCAAGGACTGCGACAAATCAATATTTTTTAAGAATCCAAGAATTCATGACAATACTTTAAAAATGGCATGACAGGGGCTCTCTTGGCCCCTCCTGGCTCACACCAGGAGCTCTGTCTGTCCTCTCACTGTATCATTAGTCTCAATCTGTATGTTTGTGTGTCCAAGTGTGTAAATGAAAAATATTTTTCTACCTCCAGATCGTATTAATAAAAATTGATTTAAAGCAAGCACTAAAAAAAATAAAAAATAAAAAAAAGGCATGACAATACTTTAAAAAAACCTAATACCAGGACAGCTGGAGATTGCTAAGGTGTGAACTTTAAAAATTAAAAAAAAGAAAGCAATCAAGCATTTATTTTGCCTTTCTTTTGTGACCTACCAAATAGTTAAGGTTTCTTTATAGAAGAACTCAGCTTATAAGAACATTAGAAATTACCAAATTGAAAAATTACCCCTTGGCAACCTCTAGGGAACGAATTAATTTGGGGGAAAATAATCAATGGATGCTGAAACCATGGGAGGAGTGGCTGCTGGGGAGCTTTATAAAGGAGAGATGAGACTGACACCATTAAACCCAATGATTAACATCAGCCTCACTAACAGTACGACAGCCAGACATCGTGTAGGCCTTGATATATGGCACAGTAAGAACTACACAGGACCACCTGTGAAGCTCCTCAATCATTGAGCAGCTTTTCAGAAGACACTGTCTTCAATTTCAAGTCACTTGTGACATAGCACTTTATGAAACTACAATGCTGTCACTGGGACTGTCAGTCGAAGCCATAAACCTAACACCAGGATAGCTGGCATTTTTTCTTCCCTTTAGGAGTGTATCTGTGATGACCAGACTAACCTCTGACTGTTCTGCCTTTTTAAAAGTGCTGTTTAAAAATCTTGGGCAGGATACACTCCCAACATATGCAGCTGTGAAGTCACATCCCTAGGAAAATCATGAAGTCTGGGTTAAATGACTTTGCTCCTTTGCCCCTCACCTTAATTTTCCCCAAATTTTGCCAGGCAATTTCTATCCTTCACAAACATGCAAAACTAGAATTAAACTGAGGACTTTTCAGGCTAATGTATTTTTCCCACCAATACTTTGCAGATCTAAATAAACTCTAAGACAATTACAGATTAGATTATGTAAAGACTTAAATGAAAAGTAATTCCCTCTTTTCTGATGCATAATTTTTGGGCAGATAGAGTAATTTGAAGAATGTTCATTGGATTCATCTTTGAAGTAGCTGAAAAGTTGGAAACAATCTAAATGACCAAGAATAAGGTCATTATTATATCAGAGTAATGGTACTCTAAGTGATTAAAATTATAGCAATCTGTAATTAATGGCATATAAAAGTCTCTGTAATATTTTAAGTGACAGCAAAACAGACTATAAGACAGGATGCACAGTATGATCCTGTTTTTGTAAAAAAAATAAAGGGGTGTTTTAAAAGAGCTAATATATGTAAAGCATACATCGTAAAGAACAATGCCTGACACATGGTAAGCATGGAATAAATGTTCGCTCACACCTGGTGCTATTATTATAATATACTTATATACTGACCCTGCTTAGGGAAGTTTTCCTTACCATCCTCTTTCTTACTCCATTTTTTCCTTAATATCCTAAATATTTAATTTTTCCCATATTCCACAAGAAAAGCCTTAAGGTTGCATTCTTTCCTTGAAAAGAAATTTAAAACAAACTTTAAAAACAATGTAACTACACTTTTAAATTCTCTCTATAAAGTTATTGACCATAATGCAAACATTTATATATTGGCCAGAGAACAACAGCAAGGTTCAACTACAATAATATTTAGGATATGTTAAAATCAAGTGTTTTGAAATTATTATTTTAATGAAATTAAAGTAAGACTTCCATTAGATAAAGGAA